AGGGCCTCCTGGTCCAGCAGGGTCTGGCTTCACTACCGCTACTATTGACTATTCTGCACTAATAAAGAGTAAGAGCATTTAATTAGTGTCTGTCTCTTTTTATTAACAGACACCAACATGTTTTATCTGGATAACCAAAATAACCTGCATACAGAATGATCTGGATTCAAAGTTTCTATAAAGTCACTCATCCTCTTCCTCATATCTTCAACTTTTTTAGATTCAGATTTCCGTTCATGGATCGCATCTGCTGTGCAACAAGGCCCTCCTGGTCCTCCGGGTGTTCCAGGGCTACCCGGCCCTACTGGCCCTCAGGGCCCGCCAGGAGTCTCCACTGCTACTGTGTATGGGGCAGGAGGTCGTGGCTACAGCTTGGAAGAAATCCAGCGTTACTTGCAGGGTATGTCTAACAGAGAGAGTGACAATAGTCTTGTGTTTACGAAGCGACGTCTAATCATGAAAAATCACTTGGATACTAACTGTTTAAGGGTCGACTAATTTTACACCAGTGGAAATTATTTTAAAAGTATCAGAAATGTTATCCATCCACGAATTAAATTTCCATTAGTACTCAAAGAAATGTTATTTGTGAACAAAAATGAGAAGTTTGAGCTCCTGTCTCTTTAAGACCATTTTCGCCCGATTGGTTGCCCCTCACCAGGCTTCCGCAAACAGAATTCAGTGCTCCACCGCTTTATCTGAGGCCAAGATAAAGCCAGAGTAATGTCATCTTGGCACAGTAGTAGAAAGAAATAATTTAAAACCAAGTATTTGGCTCACCACAGTTTATTTTATGTATGCTGACCATATTATTTAGAACATCCAAATTCTATAATACATTCATATTATATATTACTGAAAATTAGGACAGGCTTAGAGATGCAAATGAAGAAGAAGCGGTCTTTTGTGGGATGAGACATGAAGTTCTGGCTTATTATGAAATACATATCAATCATATCTTTTAATCTTGAGTTTAATACAAGATTAATTTTTAATTTGTCAAATTTAATTTGGACGGTTTTTGCTTTTTTCTATTCATCTTCTTATTTAAACATGCAGTTAGTGGGGATAGGTTAATTGGTCAATCTGTGAGTGAATGTGAGTGCGAATGGTTGTCTGTGTCTCTATGTGTTAGCCCTGCGACAGACTGGCGACCTGTCCAGGGTGTACCCCGCCTCTCGCCCTGTGACAGCTGGATAGGCTCCAGCGCCCCACGCAACCCTGGAAAGGATAAGCGGAAGTGAATGGATGGATCTTCTTATTTAATCCAAAATCAGTTTGTGCCAGCTTTGTTCATCTTGGTCTCTATTCTCTGCCAGGTTCTGGGTTTAGAGGTCTTCCTGGCCCTCCTGGTCCTCCAGGTCCACAGGGCCCACCAGGCACTTACACTGGATCAGTTTCTTACAGTGGGAACTTCCCCAGGGAGAGCATCCGCACTGAAATTCAGCAGTATCTAACCAGTAAGCTTTGAACATCCCACACAGATACAAATATGAAAAAACATTCCCAGCAGCACAGATGAGAGCAGATATGACACATTTTCTCTCTCCAGGTGACAGTGTTCGCCGTACCATCACGGGACCTCCAGGGCCTCCCGGTCCAAGGGGTCTGAAAGGAGAGCGTGGAGAGCCAGGCTACCTCCAGACCTACGCACAGAGCCAGACCTACGCTCAGGGTGACTCTCACAACAACCCACAGATCAGACAGATTGATGTCAGCAAGCTTGCTGAGACACTGGACTACTCTAATGTCGCCATAAAAGTTACAGACTACATCAAGAGTAAGTAGATTACCAGTTACTCTACCAGTTTTTGTACCTTTGTGGCAGATGTGCTGTTAGAATTATAGTTCCTATATTGCTGGGAATTCTACATGCTAGACCTGACGTTCAATGTTTCCTAAGGCCTGTTTTTTAGCCAGTATGGTTTTTTGCATTTTTTGGCAAAAAAATGGCACCATAACAATTATATTATGATATTAGCAATAGTGCATTGGTTAATGCATTCATCTAACAAGTGTAAGATTCCTGGTTCAAGTCAGAGAGGAGACAAAAAACCCTCACAGGGTTGCATCAGGAAGGGTATTATCCCAACTCTGAATTCAGATTCAGTTAGAAGAATTTGAATTAAGTCTCTGTCTCCAAATTAAGCACAACAGTGCTGCATCCATTATGAGCAGCCTCTTCTGTGAATGCTCTATGCTTGGCAAACCATTGAAAAATGGTAGCGTGTTGCATGTTAATAACAGATACACAGAGCCTGATCCCAGTACGGGGACCTTGAGGATTTGAGTACTTCTCACTTAGGCCGATGAAAGACATGCAAATTAACTTATATGACTACAGTGCCTTCGTTTTTTAAAATAACTTTTCTGCAGGCCAGGGCCTGCTGCAAGGGTATTCAGGTGGGGCTTCTTTGACCACAAATGTTCGAGCTATTCAAGGCCCGCCAGGCCCGCCTGGCCCTCCTGGACCACCTGGTCACAGTCGTGTTTTTGCAGCTTATGGCAATATCACAGCTGATCTCATGGACTTCTTCAGAGGTAAATATACTTATGATTTTCCACCCACTTGAACTGTCTCAACTTCTGAAGTGTTGCTAGACAGTGCAGTTTTACCTCTAACAAATCTGTTTTCTGTCCTTTCAGTCTATGGCACCATTCCCGGCCCTTCAGGAAGCCCTGGGCCAAAAGGGGAAAGAGGGTACCCAGGACCCAAAGGAGACAAAGGTACACAAAACAGATTTTATTCAGTGCGTACAGGTAGAGTAACATTTTAGTGCAGAAACAACAAGAGTGTTTTGTATGGTTACAGGTGATCCTGGACCTCCAGGTTTACCTGGAATACCAGGGACATATACTGTCCAAATTCCACACAGAGTGCAGAAGAGGGAAGCAGGTAAGCTATTATGATGTCAAACTACAGGAAAAACAACCGATTACATGCAATACTGTGCAAAAGTCTTGAATCAACACTCATTTCTTGACATTTTGCTTCTAAGGAGCCAGACTTTCTTGTATTTTTTGTTGAGGAACAGTTCTCTAGGATTTCTGTAGGTTTTTCAAAGGTTTTCTTTCAGCATTGGCTGCTTTTTCACTTCTTTTCAGTTCACTCATTGTTCCTGACCATTTTTAGAGGAATATTTATTTTATGTGATTAAGCCACTTAACACTGACAGTCAGGCATAAAAAATGATCAACTGTCATGTTTACACATAGCAGACAACTTATATTTTTAGGCTCTTAGTTATCAGCAGTTAGTTTTTAAACCAACAAGGTGATTCCCAAATAGATCTCAGCCTGGTGTGCAGTGTGACCTTTACAAAATTTGAGGAAACTGGATAAGTGGCAGGTCTAAAAACTATGTACAGTAGATGAACAGTATCTGAAAGTGAAGGGAAACTTTGTGCCACACGACACAAGAACGGGACTGAAAATCAGTGGCGACTGGTCTTATTATCAATATGTGCAGGGGAGTTTAGGTGACAGGTACAACAGTGTGTCTATAAGCTATCTAGAAAACACAATGGTTTTGAGGCTATGGAATACCATCTGGACAGTTTTCATCATGACAATGATCCTAAACACACAGTCACTGCAGTAAAAGCATACCTGAATAGAAATAGAATAAAACTGAACACAATGAATCATGAATTTATCTCCTCTGAGACTAGACCTCAACATTATTTGAGCATAGTGGGATCATCCTGACAGACAGGAACAAAAGGAAGCCAGCGTCCGAAGGTCTTTGAATGTCCTTCGGGAACCTTGGAGAACTATTCCTGAAGACTAAAAGAAAAAACAAGAAAGCTTTCCCTAGTGTTTAGGCTGTGTTAAAGAGTAAAGGTTGTCGTACTAAATATTGACTTCCAAACATGTTAGAATTTTCCAAATGCTTTTTTTTTTTTTAAACTGTATTTCCATGTGTTTGCACATATTTTAAATTTTCCTAGCAAAATATAAAGAAATGAGGGGTGCCGGTTTTGCACAGTACCGTACATATGAACCAGTGCATTCCTACACACTCTTTTTCATCCCCTGCAGGCAATAAACTTGTTGGTCGTCGTCAGAAGCATCGCCGTCAGGCTGGCAGCGGTTAAAGGGCTAACATACTACTGGATCATAACAGATTTCATTTCATTTTCACTCAGTTTTTTTATTAGGTCTTTAACTGTACCAATTTAAGTAGCTAAAATGCTTTTCACTGTTTCCAACTGTAGAAAAGTCAGTTTGAGAAAATAAAAGCAGCCAGAAAAATGCATCAGTGTCTTTAAAACAGCTTCAGTAGACATTAAGGGTTTTTCAGGCATATACTTCATTTTGTTTTAATCATGTGGGTGTATAATGTTTACTCTGTTTAATTAGAAGCTTGCAATCAGACTTTCTCCTGGGGCAGCTTTGTTTACGAGAATATATTTTTAAGCAACAAGTAGCAGTCGCTGATATTTTTTGCATCTTTTTCCACACTGAGTGCCTGGTGTACCTTTTTTTTTTTTTTTTCTTAAATTGTTGTCATTTGAGGATTATATTGTATTGAGGGCTATATAAGTGTATCCATAAGCATTCGTTGCATACAAATTACAACAGCTTACTCTTTAAATGCATACATATATTACTATGTAAACCTGACAGTCTCAGACAGAGGGAGGGTTACAGTTAATGTTGCTGCAGGCACAACTGATAATTGTGGGTTAGAGACACATTGTTGGCGTGGTTGAAAGAGTGACTTGGATGATCACTAAGAAGTGGATTGGATTGTATATTTTTTGTGTGAAAGGGCACTGAATTTGATATATTTTTCTTTATACCTTTAAGTGTTGCAGAGATTAAGTTATAAAATGTTCCCAGATTATGTTTTTACATGATTTATACCTATTGACATTTGTCAATATAAAAAAAGAAGGAAAAACAATAGAAAAATAAACCTATTTTTGGACTTGTGAGTTTTGATATTTGTACTACTAAATTTGTCTAAAAATAAAATTAACTCAAGTTACTGAATAAACAGTCAATATTTTATTTACAAGAAAAAAAAATGTCCATATATAAAGACACATTAAATACATTTCATCTGACATAAAAAATGCATATACTAAAGAATATTCATTGTGATAGAATGAAACATTAAAATGCTGTAACATAACAAAATAAAAAAAATATTTGAAATCTATTGGTCGAATGGTGTAATTCACATGACAGCCTCCAGAAACTCCAATAAAAATCCAGCATTTATGACAAAAATCAAATCAATGTTTATATATAAGCATACAGAAATTATAACATGCATCGATGCTATATGGTGGCAAATGAAACTACAGTAATTTCTTGTTGTGAACCATCAATACTTTATCGTAAAACGCAGCAGAGGGCATCTCCTCACACACTGAAACTCGTACAGTTAAAGGACTGCTCTCAACAAGTGCAAAAGTTCACCATGAAGAGCGATTACAGCATACCAGGAATACAGGCTTCGATTAGGCATGGCTGTAAAATACTAAGGGCATATTTGAAAAAAAGGAAAAAAAAAAAAAAAAAGAAGAAGCTAAAAGTAATTTTAATAAAAGGAAAACAATATGTTGAAACAATTCAGCTTGGAGTTTGATTAGGCTTTGGTGAGGCAAAATTTTCTACTGCATATTTTTTTTCTTTAGCTCATGTGGCAATACAGTGCAAATCAAAAGCTCTACATTCCTTCGGTAATTATTCTTTACAAGACGTCATTAGTTTGTGAGATTGCTGCTCAAAGTCAAAGGGAGAACTGATTTAGTTAACGTCAAAAAAAACAAAAAACAACCTTAAAAACCCCAACCCAACAGGCCACCTCTGTGTTTTGCTGACCGGCACTGAAATCAAATTATGTGCTAAATCAACAGATATATTTTTTGTTCATTCATCTCTTAAGATGGTGAAATGCTTCTGGCAAGCACAGTATTTATTTAAACCTCATATCTAGGTACACACCTACAACACAGTACATTATTTTTCATCTGAACTCACAGCCTCCCGATCCCAACATTTTAACTCCCGTTAGACATCAGACACTGTGCACAGAAGACTACACAGACATAACAAAGTCTTACATCTATACATGGTTGTCTTTTGACTCCGTCGCCCTTCAGCAAGGTCTACTACTACATGCAGCCAAACTAAATCTCAGAGCAGTCTTTGATAACCAGCTTGTGTGAATCAATTACACTGATCTCATGACATCTTGTGATTATGCACAGAATTGATAACCAGTTTTTTAAGTGCAAAACATTCAGGTGGGAATTTATTTACTGCAAGCTGCAGAAAATGCAGGGAAGGGCCTAAACGCAGAGAAAAAAAGAACACGAGGCACTGGAGATTATTCATATTGTAGCAGAGCTGAGCTTAACGATAATAATCTGAAAAGCATGACTGACCTCAGCTACCAACCGCAGACTTTTAAAAATCTGAACATGCTCAAAACAAGTGCATATCATTCATTTAGAGTCTTCCCAGCAAGCTGAGGAAACCCAATTAAGTAATGGAACGGTGTGTAGGCACGTCATGCTCGCGAATGGTGGAACTTAAGTAGTGAAACGTGTTCACGTTTTTCAGTTAGCGGTCAGAGAAATGACGCCTCGGCTCGTCCTTCAAACTCCACTCCTTTTTAAACTCTGGAGGAGTCAAGTTTGAGAGCAGAGTTTGACAGCAGTCTGCTTTGCAGCACGGACGAACATTAGGCTACAAGCCAGAGTTATTCAGGTTTGGGATGGGATAAAATTTGGATACTCGACTCTGAGTGGTTGGATTAAGGCATTCAGATTCACCACTCATCTTGAAGAAAACCTCCTGCTCCTGGAGCTTCCGTGTGAACTCCTCCTCTAACGCCTGCAGGGGGCAGCACATACAAACAGAGTCAACCAGTTTGAAGATAATATGAAAAATTCTGTTGAGACAGCCTGCCCAGGTGGATCCTGAACATGGCGTCACTAGAAAGAAAATGGAAGAAATAAAGTCACAAACATTGATAACGAGCATACCTTCTTCCTTGGTCTTAGCTTCTCTCTCCACTCCTTGATCTCTTGGCTGTGTTCCTCATCCAGCTCCTTCAGCTTTTGGGTCTCATGTTCAATCAGAAGGTGGCATTTCTCATTCTGAAAGAAAATGTGTGTTAACACGGTGCTGTCATGATTAATGAATCCTGTATACGTCCCTACACTGCGACATATCTTGCTTTTTATTCCTTTAAAAATAGATGCTGTCTGACATCTTTAATTTGTCCTCTACTTATTTTCTGATAATCTTCATAAGTCACTGTTCATTTATGAATCTGTTGCAGTCACTTTCAGTCAGCAGAGAAAAAACTTAAAGGATTAAAGATTAAAAACTTAAAATGCACATTAAATATGCAGTATTAAATAAATGATAAAAAACCTTATAAATTAATAATCATGTTAAACTAGAATTACGACACTGCAGTTTTACTTCATAGCAAACAGGCTGCAGATTCCATTCGAGTTCAGACTCATAACAAATGTAGTTAAGACTGAAAGTATTTAGTAGATTAGAATCAATCTGCTATAGCAGAAAGATTAGTATCTACCTGCTCCAGAGTTATGGTGCTGAATTAAGTGTTTTTGCAGCGCATTTGCAGTTTCAAAGTGAAACTGACCTTTAACCTTTTGGATAAAAATGAATTAGATTCAACTTTTTTTTTTTCCCAGAATGACATTTTTGTCATAATTAGTATATTAATTATTTAACTGTTGCCAGAAAGCATTTAATTCAGCTCTGTGATCAGAATAAGATCAATAGTAAGAGTCTGAAGTGACCGGCAACACCTAATAGAAATCGATAGCGCCGGCCTCCAGAAACTCTACAGGCTGCACATAAACATTTGCAACATGAGCATGGATTAACCGAAGCAATAAAAACAGAGGATAGATATACGAGGAAGCCATAAATATTAATGGCATTTAGTGAGAATATTTCAAACAATAGTACCAAGTACAATTATGATTGCATGTTTTAAATAGCCTCTGCTACAAATGTAGCCTTGTTAATGTTTACTTTTCATTAGCATTAAAAGAAATATGTAGAAAAACTACTGAATCCTGTTGAATTTGAATGTCACAAATTATTATTTTTTAAACTGTATATATTCTTGATGTGGTTATACTGCAGCCTACACAGGAAGTACCCAGTCTTTCACCCTATCACAGCTGGAATAAGCTTCCTGTAACCTAAAGGTAGATGAGTTGTTAAGAAGATGGATGGCTGGATGGATGGATGACGTGGTTATCTGTGTTTTGCTCAATACTGTGGAGCTCCATAGAAATGTAGTTTAAAACATATACGATAAACATAAAAAGATAGAGTGTGAATGTGAGCGCGTTGAGCTCCACCTGCAGCTGCTGCAGCTCCCTGATGTTTGAGTCACACTGTAGCTGCAAATCTCTCATCTGGTTCTCATGTTTCTGGTGTTGGTGCAGTCTCTCACCCTTTTGTCTCTTTTCTTCCTGCAAAGCAAACTGGACCATGGAGACAAAAACACAACAGACAGATGTGAGCATGATTTGCGGTTTTCACACAAGGCATAGGAACTGCTAAAAATGATGCATTTTTTTTTCTCTATTCCTTTGGTCATAGTGTCTATTTCAAATAAACTGACCGTGACTACAAAACAACACAAGCATGTTGCGTATTAACATTCAGAATGTCAGCGAATAAACTATTTGCACAAACTAAAATTTAAGATTTCCTCCAAGATCGTTCACTGAGCTTTCATCCACAAAACTAAACTGAAAGTGCAACTTGAGAATGATGGCGTTAGTATGGATTGTGAAATGGTGAGTTGGAAAGTTTCTGGTCTGAGATCCAAACAGGCTGGAATAATAAAAGGTACTGTGTTTTTTATTGGTCAGCGCCCAGGTGTGAGTCTAAGCCAGTGTGAAACATTACTGCTGAGAGAAAGAGGAGGAAAAAACCCCCAACAAAAACTGATGTCCAGTCACTTCTTTTAAAATGGTCAAACATCACTAGCCCGAGCTCGCAGCGCCTCTACCTGTTTTATCCGCTCTCTCTCCTGCTCTGCGGTGATGGATGCTGTGGCGGTGATGCGGAGACTCTTCTTGAACATAGCCATGCGGGTCTTGGCCTCGCTCCGTTGGATCTTGGGCAGACGCACCCTCTCTTGAGTCTGCTTGTTCTTCAGCTCCTCTATCAGACGCTGGTTGTAGCCCTGCATTTGCTCCATCTCCTATAAAACACACGTATGCCCACAGTTTTGTTTTAGTGGGGTTATTTAAATTTTACAGTTACATTTACAGTTCCACTCTGTGCTTGTACCTTTTCATGCCTTTTCAACAGCTGGTGTCTCTGCATGAAGTACTGGTCTTTCAGCTGCTGCTTCAGCAGTTGGTGCTTTTCCTGCAGATGGCGCTCCTCCAGCTCCCACATGGCTGCCTCTCGAGCTACAAAACACATGTGAGCACAAACAAGGCTAAAAAAAACATGTGCATGCATGTTTGCTGGTTACCAACAGGGGTCTGAAAACCAAACAAAAAGGCAAAATTGGATAGGCAGCAGCACATCCCCTTAAACACACTGTCTCAGTCGTCTGGATGTCACAGTCAGAATTTACACACTTGGCAAGCAAAGGAGGCATCACTGACATCAACTTCCTCTACACGCTGACTCAAAAATAAAAGTACATCTCAGGCTGTGGTTTCTTTCATGTCTGTGTCTGGCATGAAAATGAGGTTTGAGACACTTGAATCTTGCACAGGATACGTGAGGTAAGTTGTTTGCCTTTTTGTCATGTTTAAAACAGCAGCAGTCTTAAGACAGAGTGGCACAAAATGTGGCATCTCTGACTATGTTCTCAGTGTTCGTGTGAATATAACACTGCAGCGTAATTCGAATCAGTGATCACCAGATTTACAACACAATTACAAGTCAACTGGTAAACACGAGGACCCTGTAAACCTAAAATACCCTGTGATCATTTGTGTAGCTCAATAATCTAATTCCTATGGCATACATTACACAATTACCCTTAAAAAAGATTAACTCCAAAACAGAGCAGTAACAGAGTCGAGTCTTCTACCTCTCATTAACTGCTGTTTGTGGTTAAGGCAGTCTCTCTCAATCGTGGCAATCTCCACTTTATGCTGCTGGATGATTTTCTTTAGAGCTCCATCCAAGTCTTGCTGCTGCTTCTGTAGGAACTCTTGCTCCTGAGGAGAGAAGAGCAGTGAGAAACTGCCTGGGGAAGACATGGAGATCACTCAGAGACAGCAAAAAGTAGAGAGGGGAAGCACAGCAGTGTCACAGTTAGACTGCATCTTAATGATCGAATCTGCCTGAAGCAAAATAATGTAATCTAGCCATTCACTTCAAAATTCAGTACAACACAGAGCACTAAGATGTCACATCATCAACTGGACTCAGCAAAAGAGACACTCAGAGTTCATGGATGGCAACGATCCACAATGGAAGTGAAGAAAGAGAGAAAAGTTAACAGTTTAGTAGAGATACTGTGGCAAAGTTTTATGTAAGACAACATCTACAGTGACATTCACATCGTCCAGAAACCAGCCTACATTATGCATGACTAATTGCATAAGAAGCCAATTTTTTATTTATTTTATTTAACTTTATCTAGCTAGTGTTAACTGTAAGTTGTATTGCGATTACGGTATAAAACTATTATTAGGTAAAACTGATCATATAACTCACTTGATTATAAGAAAACTAAGGTAACGCTGTTATTATACAGTTGAATCCAAATTAAGATGGTTCAAGTGTGATCTCATAATCCACTTATACACAATGAGTGACTCATCTGCCCTGAAAGGCAGGCTGTCTATATTGGCTGACAAAGACAAACATGGATCCAGACAGAATTCATCAAGAGCTGCCACACAGCGGTGCAACCCAGATTTAATCTAGTCTTAAGCAAACGGTGTAATACAAGATAAATACCATATAAAATACACAGACTTGATGTATAACATTTGTGAACTGGTGGAGGAAAAATACAGAGCAGGAGAGGAAGAAAGAACCACTGCACAAACACAGTGATGACAACACTCAAAAAGGAAAAAAAAAAAAAAAAAAAAAAAAAACATCCCAACGTTGCCCATGCTTACATGTGTTGAACCATCAAACTATCCTGTCATGTAACTTCACACACATCTAAGTATGGGCCAGAGATGGAGAGATACGGGGCGGGATGGGGGGGGGGGGCACTTACATCCTGCATCTGAGCGTTGAAGAGTGCGCATGAGGACAACTGAAAAGACTGTATCATAACCTGGGCCACTGCCTGTGGAGGAGAGCACACAGCGCACTTGCCCTGATCAGGGACAGACAGCACACAGCAGCCTGAGGATCTCTCACGTCAACACTCACTCAGCACTCACACAGATCCTTCCTACATTAAAAATGGGTTTTCCACTTTGGGATTGTTGGTGAGTTTAAGGCTCGTGGCGAGGTCTGGATGAATGTTAGGAAGTCAATCAATTAGTTGTCAAAACTCTTTGTCTTGCCATGCTTCAAAGCGGCTCAGAATTTTAGCATTTTTGTTAAATCCAGCTGGTAAAAAAAAGCAGTTTTGTTACTTTCAATGCTACTTACAGAATATTTAAAACAAAATAAATTAAGGTTTACCTTTCAAAGAAAAGAAGACATTTGTTTCTGTGTCTCAGACTGAGCGCAGGAAAACAAAGTTTTGAAAAGGTCCTTCAGTAACGATCTTTACTGTGGAGACAAAAGCTATGTCTGCAGTCGCTCCTTTGTTAAGAGAGCCTGAATGGTGCCTGAGGTAGCTGGTAAATTGAGATCTGACACTTCTGAATCATCATCACCACCACAGACTGTATGATCACCACTGACAAGTGTAGCATTACATAATTAAATTCCACATATGTAGTGTCAGGAACAAAGATGAAGAATTGCATTGTGGGATGTTTTGGACGGGTGTGGGATGTGCAGTATTGAGTAGCAGACTACATGTTATGGTTATTACATTTTGGACACTTTTCAAAGGAGAAAACCTTACAGTGCATCTAATAATGATTATTTTTTGTTTTGAGCAGTCATCAGTTAAAATAAATGATTTTTCCATATCAGTGAAGATGGAGATAAACAAGTATTCAGATTTGAAGCAAATCTAAAACATTAAATTTGTGTTTCTTTTGTTTTGTCGATTCATTTTCTGAGGAAAAATAAAAAATATTCAGAACCCGATTTGATTTTTAACACTGACATGTGTTCAGTGGCCGCACCACAAATTTTACTTCCATAAAGATTCTAATATTCATTTTTTGGTGACAGCTGGAAATCTCAAAGTTCAATTATATTTTTCATTACTGAGGAAAACAGTAAAAGGTGGATGTTGCTTCCTTTGAGGCAATTTAATTTTTTGTTCCTCCTACCTTTATTTAATAAAAGGCTGAATATTGTAAAAATCTTTTTAATATAGTCCAATAAAACACGTCCACTGCTATGTGTGACAAAGTAGGAAAATTAAATCTTTATCATAGGATAGAAATCATGAAAGCAAAAAATTTGTCAGAAACCTTGTATGTAACTTCACTGGTGACTGTATGTTGTAATTTATTTCTCCTGAACAAATCTTCATATATATGTGTAACATAAAGGGAATTGCTATTTTTTTAAAGCTTCTACCTGAAGCACAAATTTGGTTTTGCCAAAATTCAGTGAGAGCTAACCATTTAACTGTAGCGTGTACATGGTATTATTAAAATCTTAGAAATTTTTTTTTTTATAAAGAAGGAGAATATATTCAAAAGTCAATACAGCTCAGTAGGTAGTAGATAGATAGCAGATAGGGAGCAATTACATACACAGATAATACTCCAGACACAGAAGGTGATGCTTTACCTCTGCAGTGTTGAGGAGTGTGAGGTCCTCCTTTAAGCGTTTCATGAGCTCTTTTTTCTTGTGTTTGGGTGAATGTCCAACTTCCTGTATGGCCTAAAGTGTGTATGTGCAGAATCGGTTTGATCTCTATAGTCAGAAAATCTAACAAAGCTGGCCAACAACAGTAAGAGTCATGCACTGCCCAGTCTGAGAGGAGAGATACTGGATCCAGCCACCAACTGATTTAAAGTCAACATGCTTAATTTCCACCTCCTGCATTTAACGTTTCTTTGAACTGTCTACTTGACCCCCATGAGTTAGAGTCATGTTAAAAGAAAGAATTTGACTTGTGCACGGCAGAAGATGTTAGCCTCAAAACCAGCTCGCCCTACATTACTTTGCATTCGATTAAGTCTCGCAGCCATGAACATGATGATTCGTGGGGGAAAAAAAAGAAAAAGATAAAAATAGAATAACTGAGTTGGAATTGTTTTGTAATTACAAATTTGATTTAACAGTGTAATAAAGCAGGTTCAACATGGTTTTCTTCCAATTTGCCATTTATAGAGGACTTATAATTTTATTAATAATGAATCTGTTGATTATTTATCCATCTTGACCTTAAGATTTCCAAAAGAATACTGCAGCACTATTGAAGACAATTCCATGTCAGTTAGTCAGACCAAAGGCATTTATTATTTGACCCAAATAAGCCCAACACCACTTGGAAAACCTTTCAAATCTGGCCATCCCATGACCAAAGCAACCTCACACACTCATACAAGAAACATGGTTAGTTAAATACACAGTAACAGTACATTTCAATAAAGAATACAACATGACAAAATGCAAAAAACACATCTTATCCATAGCCTAATTCTTGGATTTTTACATCTAAACACCAAGAAAGCAAACGCAAGCCAACCTATAAAACAGCATTAAGTACAATGGCAATAACAAGTAAGTAGCCTAAGCATCAAACTGGGAGGAGCATGGCAACCACCAAGGCATCATCATACACAACAGATGGCAATAAGCACTACTGGCCTTAAGAACATAAAAAGGCACACCCAGAGAAGCATTTAAAGGCTACTAAAGAGCACAGAAAGAGCCAGGAAAGACTTATAAAGACCAAGCATGAGAATATCTGCACCATCAAGCAAAAGCTTAAGACATCAACGTGTCAAGATACTATCCTGACTTTTTGTAAACAGTTTTCTAAAAATAACAAACACACCCCAGGAGCAAAGTATTTCTTAAGCTGCAACCAGAAGCCTCTGGGCAGATGAATAATGGATACAACAACATGAATGATCAGCATCTAGGAGAAGGATAGCACAGCCTGTCTGGGTAACATTTGCACACATACAGCAGGGCGCACCACTCCCATAGGATTAGTATGAGACAGCCAGGTTAGCCACCGGCTAAGTTGTAAACACATGCACCATTAAACGGCTTGTGCAGTACACATCACATGCAGCTGCTCTGGATCACAAGCTCCCAAATTTAAGTACTACTCAGCCCACTTCCACAGAGAAACACACATGCAGGGTCATACCTCTTTCTTGCGGTTCTTCAGCATGTTTTGGAACTTTGAGAGCTCCTTGTCTTGATCTGCTTTGATCCGTTTGGCTTCGTCTCGGAGCCGGCTGGTGTGATCCTGTTCCAGTCGCTCAATGGTCTGTTTCTGCTTCTTCTCAAGATTCTCCACTTCTTGGTCGTATTGACGCTTTTTAGCCTGCAGAAGTGATACGCACTAGGGTCACCCTGACTATTCCAAAACAATATTTATTTATATTAGATTTTACATAATCTCTTTGTTTTTTTTGTACGTTTTTTCATTTTGCTTTTAATGCAAATTAAAGTTTCCAATATTGTGAAAATTAAGCAGTTAAGGAAAATCTGGCAGCACATTTGATGTAAACACTTGCATTAAATTTAGCCCAGATTTGACATTAAGGTGCTTGTTTTTCAAGGAGCTAGCCAAATGCCAAAAAAAGAAGAAAGAAAAAAAGCCCATCACACTAGTGCAGTACAACCAGAGTGACTCACAGTAGTTTCCTGTTCAAAACGCCTGTAGATTTGCTCTCGCTGCTGCTGCAGCTTGTCGCTCAGCTGCTGCTGGGCCCTTTGCTCCTCTTTCTGGAGGAGGCGAAGCTCTCTCAACTCCTGCCGCCTGCAGTGAACATATCAATATAAGGGCATGATATTTACTTATTAAAAAAAATCTAATACTTTTTTCACAAAAACATGGGTCAAATTTTATGGTTGCACATCAGTGACTTTTTAAAAAAATATATCTAAATGTTTATTTCAACTTTAGTGACTCATTCATACTCTATGGCTTTTCGTGCTTTGATGAATCTTTTTAAAATGTTTGATTCACATTTGTGTCATATATTACTAACAGGAGGGTCGTGCAGTAGTCAGACAGCACTTGTACACACAGCAACAGCAACATGCCTCATGTCTTTACAAGGCAACATGAGAAATGACAGTAATATAATGCGGCATTCATCACGGGAGATAACCCATCTGGCATTTGTAAAAAGCTGTGGGAGTTGTAAAAAGAGCGAGCACTATTTAAGGCAGGCGAGTTAAATGGGTCGTGTCACATATTTAGAACAACTGTATGTCAAGCAGATTAGATACAGACGTACCTCAGGAACCTCATCTCCTCATTCCTGGTGTCGTTATCAGTCACTATCTTAGATGTTGTCACACTAACCTCCACACCATCCACCATGAACTTGCGTGTCTTTTTAAGAGTCTTCTTCTGTCGTTTTGACTCCTACCAAAAAGCAGGGTTGCTTTAGAGGATCGAGTAATCAGGGTAGTGTTGATAATGTAATAACTGATGGTGTAATAGTGGCACAGACTGTATTACCTGCAAGGACACAGAGCCCCCTTCTTTGCTCTTAGACAGGAAGCTGGAGATAGACAGATTGAGGTCGAGGCTGTTGCTATCAGCAGCAGAGCTGCTCCCAGAGTCAGAATCCTTCTCCACATCTGGCCTGATCACAGCAGGGCTTCCTTGCTCCATCTTGGCTTCTGAATCCGTTTCGCTCTCTTGGACAGAGACAGCATCTTGGGAAGTGCTCTCATCTGCGTGGGTTGCTTTCTCTTCTTCTTCATTCACACAGGAATCTTTAGGTGGGACCACTGAATCCTCAGGGGTGTCTTTAACTTCATCACAGATGCCATTTGTAGACTCAGTTGGTACTTGTTCCTTTAGCTCAGCTTCCTCTGTGATCTGGCTCTCTTGTTCAGGCTGCTGTGACTCCTCATGGGCCTCATCCATAGGCTTCTCTTCTGGTTTTGTTTCTATAGGCTCAGCAGATGACTCATCCACACTTAATTTTGTGTCTTCATTTATAAACGTGTGTCTTCCATCTGATTCCATATTCTCAATGTTTACATTTTCATCTGTGCCATTAGCCATGGCTTCCATTGTGTTCTCTGTTAGTTTGGGTTCAGTCGTTTCCTCCTCGGATTCTTTGCTTTCTTTTTCTACCTCTGGCTCATCTCTTGGAATGGATTCTGTTTTTTCTGCATCTTCAGGTTCTGCTTGTGATTCTCTGGATTCTTCTTTACCAGCTTCTTTTTCTTTCTCTTGCTTCCCCTGCTCTTTTTCTTCCTCCATTACCTGGGTAGTTTCATCACCCATTATCCTTTCTTCTGTCTCCTTCTGTTCCTCCTCTGTTTCTGTGACAAGTTCTTGGTTGTCTGTTGTATTTACAGGTTCTTCTGGCTGTGAAACTACTTGCTCAGCAGAAGTCTCTTCACCTTGACTCTCTTCTGGTTTAGGCTCTGTGGAGTCATGTGAGATGACATCTTTGCTGGGCTCTACTAGTCCAGATGCCAGGTCTTCATTACTGGCATCAGACACCTCATTTAATTTCTCCTCCTCAGTCTTGTCTACCTCACTTGTTCCAAGTCCTTCATCAGATAACTTATCACTAGTATGGTCCTCAGCAGGCTCAACTTCCATCTTTTCTTTAACAGCCTCAAGAGTGGAGGGAGTTGATGGAACTTTGTCATCTTCTGAGCTGGCCACACTGACATCAGAAGGTGCTCGCTTGTGCCCGGGACCAGCCTAAACCAACAGAAATTGCAATATGTCCACAGTGAGCAATAATAAAGCTTACAGCAATGAGTTTAATGAAGCTATCAACATCAAGTGTTCATCTAAATGATAAAAAAATTAAAATACTATAATGCTTGTTATATACATATCCCCAAAAAACTACATACCAGAGGTGTATCAGGTTCGTCCTCTTCCTCCTCCTCTTTGCTGTCCTCAAGCTCTTCTGTGACTTCGGCTTTGGCTTCAGCTATGAGTTCTCTGAGAGGTCTGCTGTCAGTTACACTGGTGACAAAAGGATGCTACATATATAGACAAAAGATATCAACATTAGATAAAAAATTTTATCCTGCAAAATCATTTAAAGTGTGACACATTAACATCTGACGGACATTTATGCATCACTTAGTTTTATAGTAGTTTGCAACTGCAGCTCACCTGCAGAAGCTGTACTGTACTCCACCTATTGTCCACATTCTTGTCAAGTGCTTTGCGCAGAAAGTCGCTGAATTCTGGTGACCTTTAAATGGTAAAGAAGACTGAATTTGTTGGTCCCAGAACAGAGTAAGTACCCCTGGGTTTTTCTTTATATAATGTAGTAATTCAGTAGTAGTTATCCTTTTAACATTAATATTTTATCATGCTTTCACACATGCAAACCCTCAACATTTCCTCATCTCCCATTTGGAAACAATCCAGCACCACCTTCCCAGTTATCACCAGCACAGTATCTCACCAGCGAGAGGGATTCATGAGTGTGGGCGGCTCGGACTTGGCTATTTTCAGTAGCACTCTCATGGGATTCATCTCATGGTTGGGCGGTTCAATCTGTGCCAGTTCTATGAGCGTTACGCCAAGGGACCAGATGTCAGCCTTGAAGTCGTATGGACGGTCTTTGGAAGTTTCGCACATTACCACCTCTGGAGCCATCCTGCGAAATTCAATCAGTCAGTAAGAGCCACCAATCAATAACCCACATTTTAGAATGCAGGTAAATGAGGTCATTCAGCATATCTTCTAATGCTTAAGGGTCAATGCTCTTATTTTCCAGGAGGAAAGGAATATAAAATAGGAAGTTTTTTTAATACATAGATTTTTTCAAATGAGTTGTTATCCCACATTTTTTGATGATTTAAAACAAGAACAACAACAACAACAACAAAAAAAAACCCCACTGTCATCTTAGCTGTGGTACAGTCTGAGACAATTATCAAATACTAAGAGGTGAATGCCCTCTTGTAAGCAGGAAGTGTGACTCACCAATATGGAGTGCCGATGAAAGAATCTCTTCTCTGTAATGTCTTGGTATTTTTAGCAGACACACCAAAGTCAGCTGAAAGTAGAAATAAATCATGATTCTTTTCATCAATGAATTAAGCTAAACTGTAAAATGACACCCTGTGAGACTAGAATATAAAATAGCATTTTCTACCAAAACAAAACACAGTAGAGAGTGCTTTACACTTATAATATTTATCCCCAAAGTGAGCAGAAAAGCCTCACATTCCGTTTCATAGTGCTCTTAGGGTCCATCATTGTTGTGTTACCTGTGCAGTTATTTCAGCCTGCTCTCTTTTCTTGCAACACTTACAGTATGCACACATTAGAGGGAAAAAGAGATCTATCATTAAGTCCCTGGTGACTGGCTTGATAATTATTGTTTGCCAGGCTCCGTCATGACCCTCTGCCTACAGAACATGAATCATCAGGCAGCCAGGAGCTATGGATGCTGCAGCAACAACATGAACATGAATACTCTTACTTCTGAAACATTATGCATCACCAAAACACATACATAGGTAGAATATTAAAAAAAAAAAAAAAACACACAGCAAGCACATCACTTTGTTCTCCAAGTTTTTGAACCCGATGCCAAATGATGACTCACTACATTTTTATGTGTAAACAAACCACAGTGCTGCACTGTCACCATCAACCCCAAAGTCAAGCTACAAAGAGATCTACAACGGCTGTTTTAATACAGAGCCAAGGACAAATCAAAGAATGAATATAATACTAAAGAGAGTTTAGTAGACCCCCCCTAACCCCGTTTTGTTACAAATTCATCCCAAGTAAGTAAGTCGTGTACTTAAGAGGTTATGTGGTTTCAGAACTTAAAGATTCAAACCAAACCTATGTACTTTATTAAACATGCTTATTGTAAAAAATAAAAAACAAAAACCTGATTCTGCGAGAACATTTAGTTGATTTTAGTATTTTTTTAATGGAATAACCTCTCATATCTCCTTTTGTTAGTAAATGGTTAGAAATGGTTAAAAAAACAAAAAAACAAAAAACACAATTACCCAGTTTTACATCTCCATCCAGGGACAGGAGAATATTCCCAGCTTTCAAGTCTCTGTGGATGATCTTGCTCTCATGAAGGTAAGCCAAGGCCTCCAAAGTCTGCTTACACACCACACGAATCTGGGGCTCAGTCAGGGGTCTCTCCAACTCTAAGGACAAACATGCACAGAGAAAATTCCAAAGTCCCAATTTTTCCCAGTGAATATTTTGCTGTAGGCTTTGTTATACACAAATACAAACACAAAATAGGTCATCTCCACCTTTACATCAGCAAGCACATATGACTAGACAAATCTAGGCGAGTCATAATGAATCAACATTGAATAGTGAAGTGAATTCATTATCATCTTCTTTGCAATGCAATTTGCATTTTAAAATGAGTGGTTTTGTGTTTCTTTAGGCTTCAAAACAAGACAGAGGAAGTGCATGAACAAGAAGTACTTTAACTGCTTCTTGAAACCTGAGCTACAATAATTACAGTTGGAATTGCTTTGCCAACTTAGTAGAGGGGGGGAAAAAAAAAATCCTTCGGTACAGGCTTCTGGATGGAATAAAAGAGTTGGCACTAGAGGATGGAGAAAAGGAAAAGCTGCAGAACTTCATAGTGTTACTCTTTTTTTTGCTTTAGTGAATGAGGGACTTACCCAGCATGATGGCATCGACAGCACCGCCTGCACAGAACTCTATCAGAATCTGTAATGGTAGAACAAAAGAACATTAAGTAATACACTTATATAATACAATAAAGTCCCAGTTTAACCTACCCTTGCAGCACACGACTTGATTAAATAAGGAATTTGCGACTTTCAAAAGCTGGAACAACATGATGTTTATTGAAAAGATTGATTATACTGTAGAGATCAAGACGCCAATCAGCCATACTGAGCTATACGTCTTTTGGTTTCCATTCTACATGTGTCTGTCTTTTAGTCCTTCTTGAACTGAAATATCTGTAGAAGTTCAAGCTTTGAACTTGATAGTGACTGGGATCCTTTTCCACTATACAGAGGAGGTTGTGATGAATGAGTCTATTATAGGAATTTCTACAAAATACGAATTGTTTCTTAAAAGTATAGAAAAATGTTTAGTGCAAAATGCATGTAAATATTTTACACATACTATGTATATTTCATCACAGATCCTAGTGACAAACGATTTCCTCATTTTGGTAAACACTGCAGAAGAGTTTGAACATGTATGTTTAGGATGAGCACGCACGCTTTAAACTAAACCGCTGCATTAATACTGAAGAACTACACAAGAAAATCCCTTTGCACATTTTTATGTACAAGGGGCAATACTTAAAGGAAGTGAACATGAGTCTCTCCATACTATGCCAGTTAAGAAGACATGTTATTTAAAATACTTAACTTGCATTATGAATATTATTTTTTAATACAATATTTCTAAAATGTTTAACATTTGCTTATATGTTTATAAATAAAGGTTTATAGGTTTTAATATGTAAATGAGGGTTTGTCATTAGTCTAAATATGTACTAATTTATACACTTATACTTTATAGAAACAACAATATTGAAAAACGTTTTCTGTGACGATCCCTTTAAGCATAAAGCATTTCTTCACAGTACTGTGCTTCTGTCAACAGTAAGAGGAAGACATCCATTATTGCCATCTTTGTTTGTTTCAAAACAGTATGCACATATGCGCATGTTAAAAGCTTGGGAATACACTTTGAATGAAAATAAAACGTTGGGTGCAAGTGTCCTTTAATTGGACGTTTCTAGCTTGGAAGAAATTTCCCCAAGGGAAGAAAAAACAAAGAGGGGAGATGCTTTTAAATATAAAACTGTGTAATTTTATAGGGGATATTTTAACAACAAATATCAACATAAAAAGGTGCCAGTTAACTACTTAATTACAAGTTTCAAGCTGATATTTTAAGATGAAATATCAGTAACCTCATCAAATATGCAATAATTTTCATAAAGTGCAGTGATTCTTTGGGTTCCAGAGAGGTAACGAAATAAAACTAATGCTAATCCCCTATGCTAGGATGTAAAACTGCACAGGTTCTGACCTCAGTTGTAAGAGCTGATGTAATGTACCCGACCAGTACTTCATCATTATTGGCTTAGCCTGCACGTTGCTTGGCAGCTCATGGTATCAGATGATACAAAAATCAATCGAAGCTACAAACAGAGCACCACCCTCTATTCAGTGATTCAAACAAAAGGAAGAAACAAAGTGGTTCTTCCCATTTGGCAGTACACTTTCTCATGCCATCTTTTTTGTAGTTTACAGGTGAGTATTAAACTAAACGTACACTGATTGTAGACACAAGTCAAAGTAAACATCTGTTTTCTAGCAACAGATTTCCTTTGTAGAAAATTAATGAACATATTATACATTAACTCAACACCCGGCACAAGCTAAATGTAGGCAGTTACACATTCATCATGCTATTTGAACTCAAAGGCCAGAGGGACAACCTGCATGCGGCTCTGAATTATTCAAAAGCACTTTCTCCAGCCACCAAAACTGCTCCATTATCTTCCAATGGTTGTGGCCAGTCCACAAGGGACAGTCACATGACACCCCCTGCTAGGACCTAATTGCTCTGGGGCCTCTTACTGCACACAATGAGATCTACTGACCATGTATTAAAGCTGCACCTCTGTGCTCACAGTAAAACACCAGGATGAGGATGAGGGGCTGTGTTCAGAGATTTATACGTTCTTTCTCATTATAAAATACACTGTGCACACTGGTTATGATTTGAGGGAGATAGGAATAAGGCCAAATTGAGGAGTATTCCACTAAATACATAAATCCCTCATTATAAATAGGAAGATGTATAAAGTATGATAATGCATTTCTCAGTAGTGGCCTATTACTTCTAAGCAGTCAGGTACTCTCCAGTGAAGCATGCAGTCCTAGTCGTGTATTAGCCTTTGTTGCTTGTCATATGACCCATTCTAACTCTTGAAGAAATAAGAAAAGTTTAGTGTCATGAGCCATCAGTCAAATGATCTGAAAGTCCTGTGAGAAACAGCATAACGAATGGTGCCTTATAATGAATTTCTGTCTCTCCATGCTTCACTGCTTCTTTGTCTTGGTGGCTTCAGATCAAACAGCATTACATGAGGAGAAAGACACTCCTCCCAGCACGAAACTGACGAACTTACCCAAAGTTTGCTTTCAAAGTAGAAAGCGTCCAGCAGTTTGACAATGTGATGATGGTTGCAGGAGGCCAGAATGTCAATCTCAACCATGTAATCCTCCAGTTCATCCTCAGTCTTTGTGTCGATAACCTTAGCAGCCGCCAGGGTCCCATTCTGCTTGTTCTGTGCCTGCAAGCAACATTGACAAAATGATAAATTGTAGAGTATATCCTTACAGCACACAGTGTATAAAATGGGAAAGGATCATGCTAATTATAAGCCAAATGTTGCTCAGCATAATTTTACAGAGCAACAACTTGTAACTTGTACACAACAGGAATTATGGAAGAATATCAACATTAAGAAAAAAGTCATTTGGAGCAATATAAATTACGCAGCTTACAGAAGATTGTATCTCAAGAAACTCATTTCAGAGATTTAAGACAACTCTTTGTCAAACATTGATTAAAAAAAGAAAAAAATTACAACACATCCTGTCATTCTGAGCTACTCTAACACAGGCCGATCTTGCAACGCTTGCTCACTTCCTCCACTCCTTTTCCTCCCCTCTTTTCTTTCTTTCATCTCACTCTGTCACACTCATTGCAGTGATTATTATACCAAATATGTATATGATTGAACAGGTTTGTGCCATTTATTGCACAACTCAAACCCTAAATTCTCATTCCTGATAGAGCTGCACCGAGGAGACCAATAAAAATGATCACTGAACCTGTGAAATAAAGCACTGGGAAGTTATTTTAAGGCCAGCCTAGGGCCTAATGTTTATGGATACAGACACAATCTCAGGGAGTTAGGGAAAAAGAAAAGGGAGGGAGTGTAAAGACCAACTGCAGCAGTGTGTGTCAGACCCTATATTTACACTCTTCTGACCTGACACACTCCCTGCCTCTTTTTTCCTTTGTAGTGGCTGATGCCTGTCAGGCACAGGCCATCGCTTACATGCAGATTCAATATTAGCTTTACAGTGAAGAGAGACACCATAATTTGTCTGTCACTTGACTCATTAAAGAAGAGCCTGTGACCTTTGCTCATCATGAACATGACGTTTTAATGTGCTAAATGCTTAATGTTGATCTGTTTTGAGGAATTAAATGAGAGCGCAGGAGTGCTATAATCATGTTTAAGAGGGAGGGACCGAACTTTGTGGTTCTTTGTAAATAATAATCATTGACAGTTCAGCACTGGTTATTCAAATGTACATCCATGAACGCAGAGTTTTTACTTCATTAAATAAATAAATACATTTCTGTCTGTCAGAAAAAATTCATCTGAACTCTGGAGTTTAATTTACTCAAGCTTAAATATATTTATGTTTGTAAAACAGCCAAAAACAGTAACAGTAAAAATGTATGTACCTCTGTTAAATAAGGTAACATAGACTTTTTGTTTGCAGACCATCATGCTTACGTGTATAGTAACACCCTGAAGGCCCATTCTGAGCCAGAAAAAACCCAACCTTTAATGTGAATAAATAGCTGATAAATGAAAACTCCCATATCGCACCAGCTGTAGAGGTCTATCTTTGAATAGGTAGATCAGATTTTTTTAAAAATGACTCATTGCATGGAAAGAATTATATAAGCAGTTTGTTTGCAGTACTAAAAGTGTCTATGAAACACTTAACATGTAATACATTCATCTACTAGTTAAGAATTCTCTCTCTTCCGGTTGACCTCACTTGAACAGCTGATTCACATGTTGCTTGCAAACTCTGCGACCCCACCCAAAGGAGTTAGCTGCCAGAAGCCTGTGAAGTAGCAAATGAAAGCACGGTGCGCTTTCATACTAATGTGGCCTGATTAAAGATATCTTCACCTGAGCTCACACAAGTGATAACTGGGAGTCAGGTGTATATTTTGTATACTTTGGTGTGAGAAGGCACTCAAGTATTTCTTGGCTCTCATCTCGTGTAGCCAATCAGCTAACAAGACTAGGAAATAAGTGAAAACAAATTAAGATTTATGGGCCATTTGCTGCATTATTTGAACACAAGAGCACCAGGAAGGAACAGCGTTAAGTAGCTCACAATGAGAGAGAGAGAGAGAAAGAAGGCTCTTTAACAGGGATTAGTGCCAAAACAAAAAGAGGCATGAAGGCATGGAAGGTTGTGGAAACTATTTTTCACTAATCTACTAAAACAGTTATATACATTGAAAAATATTTAAAATAAACTATGTTTAAAAAAAATACAAGTTAACCAAGTTAATCTACTTGTGCTACAAGTACACAAACACTAACTTTTTCTAAAGTGTGTTCTCAGCCTAGAGCAAACTCCTGCAGAGATAACCTGGAAAGGTAAGTAAAGTAGCAGAGATTACAGCTGGAGGACACAGCATTGAATATTTTTCCATGTAGCATAACTATACACCAACAAACTACAACATTGGAAGGCATACCTGACTTTCTCAGCAGGAAAACAAACCTAAACAAAATAATAAACAGGTACTCTTCTATGTCATCAAATTGTTGTAACAGTTCCTATATATATGGGTTAGTGAAGACAAACCAGATGTGACAAACCACTGCCCTAATTTAAACCCAGCTGTGCACCTGTCACATTAATTAGCATAAAGTGTGTGTGTTTTTTTAAAAGTCTGGGTGCACCTGCTCTGTCATTTTATTAGTTTAAACTATTTATTGTGGTTGTCCTGACATGTCACAGGCCCAAATAATCCAACATGTCACATGTGAGGCCATATTGATTCTGTATGTGGACCACACCTTTATCAGTTTTTAACCAACCCCAAGTGCAACTCACTGGTAAAGTCATGTCTATACTCCGGCAGTGACGCAAAGCCTGTGCTAAACCTGCTAAATAGAAAATATCCAAAAACTAATTGAGTTTAAGATCCCAGCTGCTGGTCACATTTCTTTACAGGATATTAGCAGTTAGTCAATTCCTGCATGATTTATATGAAACAAATATGTTATTTGCTGAGGGTTAGGTGGCCGAGGTTGGAATATGTTACCCAAACAAGAGCTGTAATCATCGCTGTCAGCTTTACAGCTTATGACCTCGAGACAGCAACATGCGAAGAAACAACTGAAGCTAGTCTATAAAGAAATGCAGGAAACCAAAGGCGGATGTAACGTAACACGTCAACTTACCTTGTACACTTTCCCAAAGGCTCCATCTCCCAGTTCCCCAATAATTTCCCATATCTCCTCAGGATTGACGTCTCTGTGTACATGCTCATACTGCTTCTTTTTCTTATCCGGCCCTAGTTTGAAGATCTTGCGAAAATTGAAGAAGGACATCTTTTTTAGGTGTGAACTACAGCACCGCGGGTACGCTCTCTTCGGTTATTTCCGCCAAGAAACTATAGCGGTTCCCTCCGACGCGGAGCTCAAAAGGCTATCGAAATGAGAGCATTCAAGCGTTAAATTAAGCCAGACAGACCGGTGCTTTAGCCATTCAGCTATGATAATGTCAATTATAACTTCCCTCGACGGCGGATATCACAGTCACATCATAGCTAGCAGCCTTCACAGGACGCTGTCGGAGGAGATGAGGGATACAGAGAAGAGTTAGCTGTTCCGCAGAGGCTCGTGTTTCCGTTTTGAGCGAACAAAATTAAACGAAGCGGAAAAAATATTTACCATATCATCACTTTCGACAGAATATTTTCTTTAATCGTATAACGTTACCAACACGAAAACGCAGTCAACGGACCTCATGCTTAGGTTGACTGACCACACACAAGTTAGTGGACTAGCATCAAGCTGCTATCGCAGCTCTCGATATTTCCGCTAAAGTCTTTCAAAATAAAACGCAACTGTTACGCAGACTTTTTTATTTACATTATTTCGCTTTATTTTTTCAATTTCGTCAAAAAAAATGGTAGCGATATTTTGTTTTAATTATTGATGTCAGAAAAAAGTTAAAAAACCACAAACTTCTAAACTTGTTTTGTGATACAGTTAGCATAGCTTTTAAATGACATAAAAAAAACTACTACACATTCAAAGTTTTTCTGTCCCACTGACTACTAAAATAAAAATACCATTTGATTTAGATGATGCTTCAAAATAACTGCCAGAATAACTTCCCGTAGGAATGACCAAAATGGCTGCCAGGTAACAAAGAAAAGCTTAGTTGACTAATACAATAAAGGGTTTTAAAAAACCCTCACATATTAAACTTAAGACAAAAAGAAAATCTATAATAGACCTTCGACTGCCTACGTCATAACTATACAAGGGTCTATAGCGTTTGGAGTTAGGTGGTCATGGATGTCATATTACATCTGCCTTTCTGAGCTAAGAAGTATTTTTGCTGTGGCTTTGTACACTATATATTCCGCATCTAAATAAACAACCAATTATAATTTACAGAAATTATTCACGTTAGATCAAATATAAGTATATTACGATAGAATATATATGATTATAATCACATTTTATAGTAATACATTGTGTGACGGTACTGCGTGACAAGACCGAATTTAAACCTCGATGGTTAGGCGTTTCAATGTACGATAGGTGGCGTAAACGCAGTATCAACGTGATTTTACCGAACCGGTCCGCTTCACTGGTTCACTTTGGAGTACGAGAAACAGACTGGTTTTATTGTCCGACTTGAGCAAAACAACAGAGTGGACGCTTTTACGTCGGAGGATAAAAATAGATTTCCGCTGTCAGCAGGTCTATTTCTAGTTAGCTTGACGCAGCTAGGTAGCGGCTATTTCCTCCCCAGCAGGACGTGCTCCGCTCAGCCGGGCTCAGCCCCCTCGCCTCTACCACGCATGCCAGTTGTGGTCCTCCTGTTGGCATAAAGAGGAGAAAATGGTAGAGTTCCTCTCCCCCCCCCCCCCCCCCCCAATTTATTCTGTATTCGATAATTTTTAACCCTACAACTGTTTACAACTTGCATAGTTCCCATTTCTGTATAGCTGTATATCTCAGATTCTGTAAAGTTATTTATTTCATATTCTGTATAGTTTTTCATATTTATATCCTGTTCATATCTTGTACATAGTTGTACTCACTACAGCCTGTACATACTTATAGTTATAGAATATTCACAACATACTTCATACCGTGTACATTATAACATACCATAATAGACCCATTTCTGTAATATACTTACATATCTATATTATTGCTAGAATATATTGTAATATATCTATATCACTAAAGCACTTCTGGATGGATGCAAACTGCATTTCGTTGCCCTGTACCTGTGCATGTGCAATGACAATAAAGTTGAATTCTATTCTATTCTAATTCTATTATTTTTCATTTTGTGAATACCTGGTAATATTAGTTTAATTAGTTTATTAGTCATTAGTTTTCACATTTAGCAACAAAACTCAGTGCATCACAACTCATCTTTGGATTTCACTGTAAAATAAAATTGTCTTTCACTTTTTTACTTCTCACTGGTTTTAACAGCTAAACAGTAAAAACTACAGTAAAATTAAAAGTGGACTACTTTTACAGAGTTACCAGTTAACCCGAAAAAAGCATTTTAACTGGTTGATACTTACATTAGAAATAATGCTGTGGTACAGCCTAAAATATATAGCAGAGTATTCATCTCTAATCTGAATTTGATAACAGCCAAAAAATTATAATATTTCACTTGCCTACAGTGAGCAAAACATTCAAATAATATACTTCAGTCTATGTTGGGAGCCTATTAAGAATACAAATGTCATTATTTATAGAAATTACGTTACACACACCTGATATGTCAACATTAGCAATATTCGCATATGACACAAAACCTTTTTGTTCTAGAGGGAATGTAAAGGCGTTACTAAATATGGTCACTTCAGAAATGTGCAAAGTAAAAATAAGTAGTTTTAAAACTGTTTATTATTATTATTGTTGTTGTTGTTGTTGTTGTTGTTTTTAAAGCAGCATATTAGGACGACACAAAAAAGGTTTTGAATTACTGTATGTGGAATGAAGCTGTGGAGCAGACTGAGAAATGTTCCAGCATGACTCAGTTTTAAAAAGTGGTGCAAAAATATCTATGTCTGTGTTTTTTTGTATGTTACTATGTTACTAGATGTTATAAACAGTATACCTGTCATAAATTATAAGGAAAGATTTATTATAGGATAGGGCACAAACAGGAAGGAAATTTATCTAGACAGGAGGACAACGCAAACAGACCACTTATGTTCTGCAGCGCCACAATGTGGGAATAATAATGAATTGTTCTCTTTACCTTCTCCTCGCGCTTTACCTCGTGTCTCCACAAGGAGGGAGCAACGGTATGCTGGCTGCTTTAGGTGCTGTCGGAAATCTAATGTATAACTTGGAAGCGATAGCCAAATTAGACAAGTATATACGCGTCAGCCAACTAGACAAATTGCCTGTTTGTTTGCAAGTAGCGAACACGGTCAATGTCCGTGCCTGCTCAGACACACGGACTGTTTTCTTGAAGTTAAGAGACAGCACATGTCGGGGACGTTTATTGTTGCAAAAAAGCGTTTCAAAATCATTAAAAAAAACTACAGATGTTTCATCTTATACAGCAGTTCAGCCCATCGCCCATTTATGGAGAGGAAATATGTCTTTTCACTATTCACATTTCACCCAAACTATCAGTCACTTTAGGGATGACCAACAAATCCAAGAACCTGTTTGAAAACAGTGTGACCTCCCTGGTCCCGTGTGGTGTGTCCAGCCAGCTGAAGCAGGACCGCCCCATAGCCTAAATCGCTGTACTGCTCAGACTGCCCCCCGTTTTTTGGCAACAGCAGCGGCGCAGCCCCTCCCGAAGGAGGAGAAGTCTGATTAGACGCCAGTTTTATTGCGTTGTCATGTTTCACAAGGAGTCCAGATGCTCCGAGGCCGTCTGACACTGTAATTTCATGGATGCACCCAAAGCCTGAAAGAGGAAAGTTATTTCTTTTCATTCCTCTCAACTCTTTCTTCTTCTTCTTGCGCTTCTACTACAAGCAACCAAGTTTTCATGGGTGAACATCGTTGGTGCAAACTGTAGTATTGTGTTTGGTGCAAATCTTGTTCGCTTGTCAAGATGCAGTTCCGCACCTTCCTTGACGTAAATGTTGTGGACGTGCAGAAAAGAAGGAATCCTTCGAAGCACTATGTAAGTTGTATACTCTCTCTCTGTTCTGTTCTTGTTCAAGTAGATCACCAGTGCAGTTATTGTGTATTGTCCCTGTGGAAATTTAACCCATGCTATGCAGCTCTGTGGACGCCAGTGTTGCTCTGAGGGTCCATTACTTTCACCAAACAGCTGTTGAACGGACCTGGTGCTTTTTTTTTTTTTTTTAAATTTAATTTAATTTTTTAAATAGAGACATTCATGGTACCCAGAAGATGTCTCTTTATGACTGTGGTGATCTGAGGCGTTGTATTTTTTGTCACCACATGGCTTTGATTGAAATGTAGATACAACCTATTATATTTGATTTTGTATATACTTGACAACAGTGATTTAATATCAGGTCATTTAAAAAATATCAGATGCTTTGATTTATTTGGGTATTTTAATAAACTAAAGTAATTGTGTTTTAAAAAAATGTTTAAAGTAATAGTCTTCTTGCAAGCTTTTGCTTAGTGCTGTACTGTCGTGCCTGAAAAACACCAGTATTTTATTTTTGCCTGTAAAATACAGTGTCACTGTGTCTGACGTCTGACAGAGCCGACAGCATGCACTGAGGCTTAAAAACATAAACAAACTGAAATCACATATACGTGACAGCCAGCTGGATGAGGATCCTAAGACTTGGGCTGCACCCTAAGCAGCGCCATCGTCTAAATAGACGTAGCAAAAGTAGTAGTCAGGGATTTGCAGCTATATTTTTACACACATATATATTTAATCTTTTAATTGTGTATATGGCATGCAGACTAACTGTGGTGCCCTGTTTCCCAAGTGATTTTTTGCTTTTCATTGTTCACCTAACAATCTAAAGTGCAGAAAAAGTGATGTGTTCATGTTTGAATGTTAGATGAGAACGAGCTAACCCAGGGATTAACTTTATTTAAACTCTGTTAAGATGGGACCATTGGTAACTGATATGTTTTTTTTCCTCAAAGGAGAGCTCATTTACAAAGCAAATGCGTATGCTGTAGATGTCAAACCTGTAATTTAAGTTTTGAGCCTTACTTCTTGTTGAGGCTAGAATGGGTTAATATGGATTTGAACGAACACAACACCAAACTTAGCATACATATCTACACAACAACTACCCAAATTCACTTAAATATATCATATTAATGGATGAACAGATCACTCTTTACAATAACGTTTTGGTTGACAAGTAGTCTCCTTTTTATTTCGTGTTTGTTATTCATTAACAAACATTTTGCCCCATTGAAACAAACAAACCCCTACTTTAAACAAAACAACTACAAACAAATAACTAAAAAGTATTTCAATTCTACACTGCATTAACGTTACAAACAGATAAAAATCACAAGTTGCCTTCAATAAATGCATTTTTTTCACTCTGACATCAAATGTCATTACTGGTTAAATAATAGTGCATCCCTATTCACAGTTAAAGCAGGAAAAGTAATTAATTAATACTTCAGATGAATACTTCAAATACTAGTGCCCCCGAGCACCAACCCACTTTCTTGAATTTGGCTTACTCGCAGTGAACATAACTGTGTTTGTGGATTACCTGCAACATATGAAAACATGACAAACACTTTCGACCCTTAGACTATATTCAAAAGCTGGAGATTACCTCCCAATCTGAAGACTTGCCTCAACTCAATTCACATTTATTTACAACGCACATGTTAAAACAAAAACAAAAAAACAAATCAGAAATAAAATCAGTACTGAATCTTTTATGTACTGTTTGTGATTATGTCACTCATGTAACAGTGGCTGTCTGGCTGACTGTCTATATGGGCAAACGTGATATATCAGTTTAAAACTTTTACATAATTCAATGATTGCTGTGACTTAAAGTCATAAAATGCAATATCACTAACCGTAAGTTTAAGTTTGGATCGTCCTAGACGAATTTGTGACACCACATTTCAGATTAGGGTCATTTATTTGATGCCACATAAGGTACATATTATTAGGAAAGAATTGGTGTACCAAGAGGTAATCTTTAAAATAGCAAGGATCATATTGATCTATTTTTTTGGAGGGAATGTACCATCCGAATGTCTTTATACCGATATGAGGTGCTGGTGCCAGTTTTGCTTTTTCCAGGCACATTCCCATGTAAACGTCATCAATAGGAAAAAGTGGAATGGCATTGGAATAGCTATGTATCATTAAAGCTGTAAAGCTGGACAAAAGAAAGCCCCCACCACCACAATAGTTGGGGTAAACATTTTTTTCATATACTTGAGATGGAACAAAATACTTGCTCCTGTCCCATCTTACAGGAAATCCATTCTTTATCAGAAAACCAGTAAACAGATGCTGGCTTCCATTATTTTCACGGCGACCATGGAGGTAGTCCACAATATTGTCCGTATTGGCAAAAACGTCATCATCACCATTTAGCACAAAATTAACTTGTTGACAGTTCCTTTTCATCCATTTGAGGAATAGAACCTGCTTTAAAGTGAGATTAAAAAATGTATCTTGAAAGTCCCATTGGAGGATGTCATTGTGTTCCTGGTGCTCTGTTTTGAGGAGTTTGTTCAATCGCTCTTTCTCAAAGTCATTACCCATTGTTCCAAGGATGAAAATCCTTCGAATCCGCAAACCTTTGTATGACCTCTCTTGAGCCCAGGTTTTTCGCAGCACTTCACGTCGTTCATAATGCATGGGGGAGCTTTTAATTACAAGCAGAAGGAAGATGTCTTCAGGTTCTTCGATGCCTCCGCATTTGTCAGGAAGGTCCAGAATCATGGGAAAATAGCGACAGTGACGATAGTAAAGAAAGTCTTTAAGTATATCAGGGAAACCATCGAAGCCTGAGATTCTGGCAGCAGCCACGTTTTGTTCACATTTTGGGAATGAGTATTTATAGGAATTGTTATACATTTTTACAAGTTTTGGTGAGCGGAACATTTCAGTGTCGCTATAATATTGAAGAAAAAAAACAATAGAGAGAAGTGATCCTAAGAGCATAACAATTTCGATGTGGCCGGCCCTGGAAACAGTGAAAAAATAAATAAATAGTCACTCAACAGAAATTTCAATCAGGTATGTATCAATAAATAACGCCTTAAGACATTCAGGTACTACAAACATATCATATCGTACATACATAGCATAGTTTCTATAGGCCGTGTCTAATGCATGACTAACTAAAAATGAAGTGTGGTCTCTCTGACTTGGCTCCCTGTTGAACCAGAAATGAATTGAAAATCCTGCTCCTCACATACAAGCTCTTGAATAATCAGGGCCCATCTTAATTTAATGACCGTATAGTACCGTATCACCCCATTAGGGCTTTTTGCTCTCAGGCTGGTTCTGTGGAACCAGTTTCTCGTTTGGATTTGGAAGACAGACACCCTCTCTGCTTTTAAGTTTAGGCTTAAAACTTTCCTTTTTGATGAAGCATATAGGTAGGATTGGATCAGGTGATCCTGAATCCTCCCTTAGTTACGTTGCACTAGGTCTAGGCTGCTGGGAGATGAACATCCCATGAAGCATTAAATGTTTCTTCTTCAGTCACCTTTTTCACTCACTATGTGTTTATACACCTCTCTGCATTTAATTATGTGTTATTATTAATCTCTACTGGTAGGGAGTCATATTCATTTTGACGTTTTCTGTTTTCTGTGTAACATTGTAAGGTCTTTACCTTACAATGTAAAGCACCTTGAGGGAATTTTTGTTGTGATTTGACGCTTTGAAGGTAGGCCTCTGAAAAGCACATCACTGATGTTACCAGTGATGACATACTATCAAACTACCAGGCAACCTTGCTTTTATACATGAGTATAGCCAGAATTAACCAGCTACTGCCCAGCTGACTCGAGTCCACTATTACAAAGAGATGTATTGCAGAGGAGCTGCACTCACTGGCACAGACTGACTTGGATTGATTGCAGCTTGTTGATAATATTTCTGTTATTTGCAAAAATGACAAAAATTTGTCCTAGAGGGCTTGGAGTCAATCAGAGTGACTCAATCTTTGATTTTCCCAACTACTTGCAGTCCTCTTTGAAAGGAGGTTAATAAAAAATAATAGCTTAATATAACTGATATAGGAACAGTACATTTTGTTGTGTTACATTTTAGGATTGATCTCTTATTGAAACTTCTTTGGAGGAATTCAGATTTTGGAGTCATGGTTTATATCGGATTAAACATTTTTTAATTTATTTGACATTTTTCAAAAAGCTCCGGATATTCTGTAATTATATAATAAAACATTTAAAACTGTGTCTAACTAAATGTAACCATTCTTAGGTTACACCATAAATGACAGAAGTATATTAAAAAGTAAAAGTGCTTAAAAGTCCTAAAAGCTGACCAAATCAGTTAATAAAAACAATGTGCTAATTCTGCTTCTGACTTCAAAGGAAACAAGCATAATAAAACTAGCTACAGAAAATTCACAATCAAAAACATGATTCTTTGCCCTCAACAAAACTTTCATCAACTGAAATGTATCAAATCAAAGGTGTTTTTACTAAAATAATATATCATTAAAATTAGTTCGGAATAAACTGAATATATACCAATCAAGTACATTTAATTTGATCATATTCTAATAAATTTACTTTTGACATTATACTTATGTAACAAAATTGCATGCAAAATGTCCATATAATCAAATTACTTAAAGTCAGCATTTTGAACATAACCTGAACTCTTCACCTTGAACAGGTGTGACAAAGACTGAAATGGATATTGTCACTAGAAACAATCTTCCATTTCACAGAAACGCTAGAAGAAGCAGATCATCCTGTTTTCTTCACTGTTATTTCCTAAACGTCTGCGAAACAGTAAGTTTTCTAGCGAACTATTAACTGTGATAAAATGCAAATTCAATGAATAATAAATCATAATGCTACAGAACCCCCC